CAAACAGGAGTAAGAGTAGAGTTTTTATGGATACCTGCCCATGTAGGTGTAGAAGGAAATGAGGAGGTGGATAAGCTGGCCAAGTCAGCATTGAGAAAAGAAGAGATTGACATAGAAATTCCTTTAAGTAAAACAGAAGTAAAAGGTATTATTAAAACAGCAGTTGGAAGTATGTGGCAAGACGTATGGAATAAAGAGTCAAAAGGGAGACACTTATTTAGCATTCAACAGAAAGTGGGGATTGAAAGAAAGGTATATGGAAACAGAAGAGAAGATACTGTTATAACCAGGATCCGTATAGGACACTCTAACCTTAATTATTCATTGCATATAATAGGAAAAAGTGAGTCAGATTGCTGAAATTACTGTGGAATAACAGAAACAGTTGAGCGTGTGCTCTTACATTGTGAGGCATATAATAGACAAAGAAAGCAGCTTGATGAAAAACTAAGAGATATGGAAATCAGTGACATTTCAGTTAAGAATATATTTCAGAATGCACAGAATCAGTTTAGGGTTTATGATTTTCTTCTAAGATATTTGAGAGATAGAGATTTGATTAGAAGAATTTAGTTTTTTTTTTTTTAGTATATTACATTTTCGTTCATCGAGGCCTCACACTCCATCCCAGCAGGTGGCGGAAATGCACCTTGAGCTGGTTTGCCAACCGCCATTAAACACAAAAGAAGAAGAAGAAGACGACGAAGAAGAAGAAGAAGAGCAGCGCGGCTCCGGAGCAGAAGGAGGCGGTAATGCACCAATAAGTTGGATGCCAACCGCCGTTAAACTGAAAGGAAGAAGGAAAACGAGCAGCGCGGACACGTAAAATACCTAATGTTATTTTAGTAATTTTAAGAGATTGAGTTTTATATAGTCTTTTTTAATTTATAATCAAGATCACTTCGGGTCTTAACATGGTAAGTTTCTACAGCATTACTGACACAATTACAGTTTGCACTGTTTTTATCAATCACGAATATTTGACACTGTACGCTATAAGTCACTATTTACGGGAGAAACTGGTATAATTCATAACCTGCTCAGTCATTAATTGCACTACTAACTTCATTTACAGCAGTTGTGCTGCTTTGCGGTTTGCCTGTATTCACTAATGCCTTCCTCAAGAGAATATCAGTAAGTTACGAGTATGTGACCACCTGAAGTGTTTCATTGATTCTGTGATTAATGTGCCATTTATGAACAACATGAGCCCCAGTGTAATATTACTGAGTGGTCTATGTCTGACGATAGAGGGGTGGTCAAGGCTAATTCAGGGGGTCCGTAGACCATGACAGAAAATCAGTGTATTACCCCAACCTGGCATAAAAAGCGTGAAGAAATCCTATGATTGCATACTTCACATTACCCCACATTAGTTAAACATACCGTAACTTCACATGTTAGGCTGATGATACACGGGGCAACTTTTGGAGCAATTTTGCTTGGGCACTTTCCCATTAAGAATAGGTAACAGATTTCTATCTGGATAATTTAGATCGGCCGTGGGCCCTGTGTCTCACCTGGTTGCCCGTTGACGGCAACATTGCTCAAAAAGTTGCCCCGTGTATCATCAGCCTTAACTTATTTCTCTTATTTAACCAGTGGTTGGAGCAAAAGATCTTACACTACCTTGTAGGCTACAGTGAAGTTTATAAATACTGTTCAGGAAACCTAAAACTTCAGCTTACTTCAAACAGGGCTGACAACTTTTGAGTTCAGCCTGGAGTGAGAATTATTCAGGAATAATTAACAAGCTTGCGATTAAGCATGTCATTTTTTTTCTCAGTTTTTCTAAACTAAACAATACAGGGAACCCTATTGTTGAGGTTAAATGTAACAGCTGATTTGTATACAAATATTATACCATTTTTTTTTATAATAACGTTATATATTTACATTATTAATTATAATAAAAAGCAATTATGAGTAAATATAATAAACATAATTTTTGCAAAATTCTGTCTAGTACACATTTTTCTCGATAGTTTATGGGCACTGAATGGATTCTGCAGTTATGTGACAATGTTTTATAGCTGCTGTCTTAACGATTTTTGAGTGATTACATGAGACGTTACATGAGACGAGTGATTAACATACACTGTATCTATCTGAGAATTTTTTTATTTTTCTCCTGTTTAAAATGAAACTAGTTAAACTAATTATGTTGAATAAATCATACTTTTGATCTAATTTGACGAACAGGTTTGCAAAAAGGTCTGGTTTTGCTTGGGGGCACTTAATTTCTGCCAGTATTGTTGACTTGACAGCACAGACACTATTTGAAGAGGACTGAACTGAGCTGGATGACATCACTGAATCATCAATGAACCGGCTTTAGCTGAAAAACTGACTGTTTTCTATTGTCCCCCTGCATTATTATTATAAATGATATTTACCTAAAATCCATTGTAGAAAACGAAACCTGCAAATTTATTTTATCCTTTAACAACAATAAAACGACTCGACTCTGTACTGTATACTTGTAAAACACCTTAAACTTGGAGTAAAACATTCATAGATGGCTTGGTGTGTTTTTTTGTTTTGTTTTTTTTCTCTCAGATTCCTGTGTTATCAAAAAGTTCAGTGAGCATGAGGGACCCCAAGAGGGTGGAGCAGATATTAACATCCATGAGAAATGCTGGACCTAGCACACTACAGGTAATGATTTCTCCTGAAAGTGTCAAGCCTGTTTTAGCACTTGTCATTCACGCCTCAGATTTGAAAAAAAGCCTCAAGAAATGGGTATGTAAAGTAGCAGAAAATTGGGAGAGTTGAGGGTGGGAAGACAACAACCAGCAAAACACAAACCTACAACACTCATTTCAAATCATCTCAGATGTATTAAGCGAGGTACGGAGAACGGGCCCCAGGACAAATCCAACCCATCCGGGCCACGAGTACACCTGGGACAGTTTTGCTGGGGTTAGGGCCTTAAATTGTCTTTTAATGTGTTTCTCTGCAAAGATAACTTTGGAAATGGGTCTCCAATAAATGTATCAAGGCATAGCTGTTCTTTCGTTTAATTTAAAGGAAGTTCAATTATTTTCATTTTTCTTCCTTTTGCATAAATGCATAAAAGCATACATAAATGCAGTTTGCACAACAGTGATCACAAATGAGATATAATTTGAAGGCAGGTCAGTTAGGCATTTCTCTTTATAACATTTTTCTACATTGATTTCCATGCTTTGTTGAATAAAAGTGTACTTGAAGTGAAAGCTATGAACTCTATATTGCTTACAGGCGAACAGTATCTCAGGAAAAGTGTAAAAGAAAAGAAAATGATCGACCATATATGAGCCCATGTCCTCTGGACTGCACACTGCATGAATTGAATAACCACTAGATGGCAGTATGACAAATGAAATATTAATTTTCATCAGTATTCATCAAAATGTGGAATCAGTAATCAAATAGAACAGAAACAAATAGTGATAGATATTATTGAAATTATGCTAATGCATTTTTTGCACATATAAATGCAAATGACAGTAAAGTGCATAGGATATGGCCAAAGAAATCAGTTGATATAGATAATTATCACGAAAAATGTCTTTATTTCTAAATATCTTTATTTCTTTCAAGATAAAGGCAGATTTTTTGAAAGTTGTGGAAACCAGACAGTTAAGTGTTGTGTTAAACTACTTTAAACTTACTTTCTATTTTTGTCAAAACATGATAAACACTTGCCAAACAGGTTGAACATTTGAGGTATCCTAAAGATCCTAAACATTTGTAATAATAAAATATTTTTCTACATCAAAATATGCATGTGTAAACTTAAGTAAAATCCTTTCTCAGTCGTTTTTCCTTAACAAATTAATAATAGAGAAATTAATTTCTTAGTTTCTGCATGCTCCAGTCAGTGATATTGTTTCAAATCATAAAACAGGTTTGTGTTGCCTGACTCTGATGACACGATGCAGATGTAAATTTGTTCATTAACAAAAACAGTTACATCTGTAAAAATTGTAACAACCTCATATTTATAGGGTAAAATTTTAATTTTGACTGTACTTTGATTAAAATTGATCCTATGGAATCACACAATTAGTTCATGATAACCAAAGGTAAAACCACATATAGCACCTCACTATCATGGTAAAGTGTAACTATATGGTTTCTATGGTATTTGTATGAAAAACAGCAGCCTAAATATATTTAGTATAAATGTAAATGCACAAATGTTAGAACTTAATAACAACCATTACTCCTTTAATACATGTCTACATTAATAATATAATAAAATTCCATATGTATATGCCACATTTATGCCACAATAAAATTATGCAGTTAGCATTACTACAGTAAATGGTAAATCCATATAAGCCTTCTAACGGGATTGTTCGTGAAACAGTGTTTCTTGTTTGTCAGTGCTTTTGAGAGCGTCAGTGCTGTTTCATCTGGCTTCAAACGAAATCACTGAAACATTTGTGTTCTTTCAGTGAATTCAAGCTGTTCTGGCTGGTCTCTATGCCCCTTATTCCCATTTAAAAACTACAGTGCCTATAGAAAATCATCATACCCCTTCGAAAGACTTTCCAGCTTTACCAATTTTTCAAATTACAAGATCAAAGTAATGAACGAAACCAACAGTTCTGAGAGAAAAAAATAAACTACTGAAAAACTAGAATAACAGGGTCAGAAAATTCATCAGTCCCCTGATATAATACGTCTGTACTAGCTTTGCACACCTTGCAGAATTGCTGAAGTTCAGTCAAATTCCGTGGTGAGTGGCCATGGACTAGGCTGCAACAAACGATTATTTTGATAATTGATTAATCTAACAATTATTACAAAGATTAATCAACTAATTGAATTGTATGAAAAGGCAGCTCATCATTCTGCCTTACAACTTCTTTTGTAAGTCATATGGAACAAAATAATAGTAAGTGATAAGAAATTTTATTCAAAACTTTAGCTCTCTTAAAACACCTTATAGTGTTATAATAAACTGTCTTGAGCTAGATTAAGCTTTAATCTATGCAAATCAAACTATCACTCTAATGTAATCATGTTTTTTGTTTTTCTTCATTATCTTTGCATTTACTAAAAATATTTTACCATTAGTTTGCTCCACAATGGATAGCTGCTTTATAACAGAAAATCAAGTTGTAATTCTAACTGAAAGCATCACTGACACTGTTTTTTCATGTTAAACATTTCATGTTGTATAAAGCGCTATATAAAGAAACGTGACGTGCCTGGAGTGCCAATTGCAGAGGTCATGTAAACATATCCACATCGCTATGATTGGATGCTTTTCTTAACTGCTGTTTTCTCACCGCTGTCATTTTTGTTGTGTGTTTATTTCATTATTGAGAGGAAACAGCAGTGTCTGGTTCGGCTGCGTTTACACTCAGGCCCCACGTCCCAATGTTCACACTATCCATCCTAAATAGTATGTGAGAGCAGAATAAGTGTGTCTCGAAGCATAGTATGTTGAAAGGGTATGCCAGAAGTCCCCGGATGGTCTACTATTTCAGGTAGATTTCTGAAGTGTGAATCCGTTCACCCTCTAAAGGCTAATACTGCCCACGATCCATTGTGCTTCAGCGACAGATTCAGTTCAGAACCACATACACAGATAAAAAGCGTTAAAAAACTACAAACATGGTGGATGTGCACAACCGACAGTTAAGTAGAGAGGTTTAGATAAATGGGGCTGAGTTACTAATAATCAGCATTTAAAAAATATTTGTTTAATGTTATCTGTGTCATATTTCATCTGCAAAAACAATGTGAATTTTATATAAACATCCGTTTGGCCATTAACTTTTAATCACATCGTTATGCAAAAAATATGAGCTCTCCGCATAAAGATCCATGGCTGGCAGGTGCTACTTCTTCTCCAATACGGTAGGAAGTTAAATTAAATCAAATGTGGAGGATGTTAACTGTGACAAGATGATTGACAGGCCAGTTTACGGTGACAGAGTGCGTGTAACTATGACATAATGGTATGTCCCAAAGCTTGCCTACTCTTCTACTATACACTCAAAAGTGTGTACGTTTTCTTCACCAAAAGAGTAAATACTTTAAGGGCATAGTATAAGTAGGTCAAATGAGATCAAATGACTATTCGACAAAAGAAAAAATAGTTTAAATTCTTTATTGTCGATGTTGTTGATAATGTCGACTAATCGTTTCAGCCCTACAATGGACTGCTCTCTTAAAGAGTACAGTGACCTCTTATATGTCAAAAGATCAAGGACATTTTTGATTTCTCAGTTAATGACCCCTTTAAACTAAAGTCTCACATAGTCTATGTAGTCAAATACACTGTATAGTCAAATTTAATTTAAATTTAATTTTAATTACTCATCTGTTGATTTGATGCCGGTGAATTGCAAAACTGATACAAACATATCCACATCATTATGACCAGACTACTGCAAAGAGCAAAGAGCAAAAAATAACTTATCCGTGAATATACTGGGGCACCGAATCACATTCAGGTATGTTACATGTGCATGAGTGTGAACATGAGCAAATAAGCTGATGGCTGCAGTTTACATAATGGCCAGCAGTGTTGCTAATAATACAGGCCTGTGAATTATATATATAGCTCTGTTAATTGTAAAAATGTGCAATGAAAAACATTTGCAATTGGCAAACATGAGCGGCTCAGTGTAACCGAAGACCATAGAACCCATCTACACTGGATGCAGCGTGACACAACAAATCCCCCACAGCTCTATGTATGAAGTACGCCACTTCTGACAAAGGACCAATGGATTTGCAGCAGTCGCTTTGTCATGTCCATCTTTTAACGGTTGCATCCAGTGTAGACACGGTGTTGGTATTGCTGTTGAATCAGTTTTAACCAACCACGACTAGAGAAAACAAAAAAGGGCTATGCCCCCCCCCAAAAAAAGTTCAAAACCCATTGTGCACTGTGCAGACTGAGCGGGGATACAAAAATGTGGAAGTACAAGCTGTAGTTTTCACAAGAGGCCTCCATGAGGAAAGGGATATTAACAGCTCACAGATCTGTTGCACCCACTTCAGGGCCACATCTGTGTTCCCGTTGCTTCTTGGTGCATCAGGAGATGAGTATCCCACTGTGCTTCGTGCCCTGTTGGCTTCTTACTGTTCTGGCTCCTTTCCCACGGTGCTTTTACCTAGCACAACCAGTGGAAGACATCACCACCACTAGACTGCTCATCAAACCATGTGGGGCATAAATATCACTAACCCAAACCACTTTCCAGAGACTTAAGCATTAGTGTATATTGTCAGAATTGTTAGATTTTCTAAGTTGCCTACATTTGAAAACACAGCAGACTACTAAAAGTATACTGTTGGATTGTATCAACATGCTACAGGTTCCAGCCTGTATTACCGCTACATTTTTAATTAAGTGAAAATTTAAATGTAGTTTTTACTCTAATTGAATGAATATGAATTTAGTGTAAACTACTTCAACTTTACTGTGTAAAGACAGTAAAACGTGGTATATCTTTCTAGGTTTGTTAGCGTTTGAACTGATTTCTCACAATGCAGATATTAGATGTTTTTTGTGTATTTTCTTTTGAATACAAGGCTTGGATGTTCTCATGTAATGACTTGGGTATTTGATGGATTTTTGTTGTTTATGTTGTAGGTAATCTCAGATTTTGATAGGACTCTCACCAGGTTCGCCTACAATGGCAAACGCTGTCCTACATCCCATAGTAAGTACAACAATCACTAATATTGCCTTTAGTTTTGCTGAGCTAGTTGTCCACCAGTCAATTAGTGAGGTTAAGTAGTTTTTTTTGTGTGTGTTGACAGCATGCTGGGTGTTTAACTGTTAGACTGTTTGCACAGTAAAACTATCTGTGTAATGCTGCATCTTTAAATGCAATCATTTAAAATCTTTACATCCATAGACATTCAGACGGGTGTCTTTAATCATGTGTTTTTGTTTAGTTGATTTTGAAAATGTGTACAAAAGCACAGAATGCTAGATTAAGGTTGTAAGAGTTTAACGAGTTTTCTCTATTAACATAAATATGTAAATCTGACCTAAAATTAATGCCGTTGAACACTGAAAGCTGTAAATAACTTACAGAAAATGAATCAGTGTCAGAAGAGTTTATCTTGTGTGCTTTCTCTTGTGTTGTTAAAATGAGTAATAAATTGTATGCTTTCAGATATTCTGGACAACAGCAAACTGATCAGTGAAGACTGCAAAGCCAAGGTGAGAAAGCAAGTGTTTTCCCTAATGAATATTTTAAGCTTACATTTAGTTTAGACTCAGAACTCTCTGTGCAACTATAGATGTTACACTGTTATGTGTTTGATGTGAAATTCACAGATTTTCAACCACTTTAAGTAAACGAACAGTGTGTGTTATTTTTTCTGTTACCTGTACCAAAATATCCCTGTTTATTTGTCAGTTCCAGGGCTTTTGTGAAAACTACAGATCATACTTGTTATCTTGTCTGTTTTATTTCTGTTAATTTCTTTTCTGAAGCAGAAGTTTCATGCAATCCCTAGTTGTCTTAAATGCTGTTTTATCACAAACACTGATCATTTATTCTGTGTGCAGGTTTTACAGACATATCTTACCTTAACTTAGCACTGTATAGATTTCTTTTTGATGACCAGTGACATTTTTGAGGATTGTTTTTCTGCAGCTGAAGAATCTTCTGGACACTTACTACCCTATAGAGATCGATTCCACACGCTCAGTAGAAGAGAAGTTGCCGCTCATGGTTGAATGGTGAGATACAGCTACTCATTGCGCAACTTATCTCTCAACAACAAACAGAAGGTGAGCCTATGATGCATGTGATTCCTGTGAGGGTCCAAGTCTGACCATTGTTTGTTATACGGGTTGAAAGTGTATGTAGGAATGCACCAAAATATCGGCCAATAATCGTATCAGCTAATAAAAGCAGTTATTTGCACCATTAACCGATTGTTTAAAACCGCCGATGATCAGAGCTGAAATCAACATGAATGAACATCATAAGGGGTGTTGAAAGATACAGACCACTTACTGAAATGTATCATGTTAGTTAGCTATAAAAAATATATAACGGGAAATATAATAGAGGGAACCAAAAACACCATGGTTTAAACCACACATTGAAATTCTTACTTTGCAAGGCTCCCTTTCACAAAAATATACAGTATAGAATATAAACAAACTATACAAAAATATACAAATACAAATATACGTTATGCAACGAACAAGTTAGTATAATGGGAGGTGAGATAATATTTGAAGGGTTGTTCAGGAGTCTGATGCCTTGTGGATAAAAATGGTTTGTAAGTCTTTTTGTCCTTGATTTTATACTCCTACCATTTCTCAGATGGCAGAAGTGTGAAGAGACTGTGTTATGGATGTGTATTGTCCCTGATGATGTTGTGGGCCCTCCTGATGACCCTGGTGCTGTAAATATCCTGAAGTGATGGCAAGGCTTCTCCACAAATTAACTGTGCCGTTTTTATTACACGCTGGAGAGCTTTCCTGTCTTGAACAGTGCAGCTTGCATACCACACTGTGATTCAACTAGTGGTCACAGTTTCAATTGTACATCTGTAAAAGTTGCCGAGGATTTTGGTTGTCATGCCAAATTTCCTTAGCCTTCTTAAGAAATACAGTCGCTTCCTCCACTGGTGCCTTAAGCAGAATTGTATTGTTGTGCCCCCTCCCTCAAATATTATGGGGAAAAAAACACCTACTATAGAGGTCAAAATAGAACTTTTAATAAAATATAAAAGTAAATTAAATAAATTGTAATTAAATTGTATTATTTATAAATTACAATTATAGCTCTAGACAGTTAGGCTACATATGGCTATGATTTTATTAATACAGTTGTCTGATTGATTTTATAGTCTCAAGCATTCAGAAATCACACAAAAGAAAATTAAGCAGTTTTACTACGATAAAACCATGGTTAATTTTTGTAAGGATTGTGATTTCCACATGTTTTTGTTGAAGAAATTATAGAGGGTGTAGCATTTCTATCGCAAAAAGGTGGCCAAAAATGAAAGTGGATATTTGAATTCAATGTTTGGTCAATATTAAACAAGGATTCGATCGTCCTGTAAGTGTTACAACAGCAATTAACAGACATTTGGCGCCCTTTGCAGGCATTTGTAACAATATGTAATGTATTGTACATAAATTGTATATTTTTTATTACATTATGTATTTTAACAGTGTTATTCCAAGAAATCATATGATAATTATGAATTAACTAATCTTTATTGCCTCATTGTTTTTATATAATGCATTTTAAGGCATGGAAACCATTAAAGCTGGCTGCAGACTAGACGAATTTCAAATCTTAACCGATTTTAAAACCATGGGAGACCACAAACATGAAGACCGCCTTATAATCCTCTGAACGCGCACACTAGACGATTCGACCAGACCGCGAGACCACACACTTGATGACTGTAGGGACGATTTCACAGTGACACGAGATCTCACGGAGACTTGCGAGATCAAACGTGACTAGAGAAGATAAACAAATAGAGGACAAACAACTTAGTCAGGTGGCTCTCCCGGCGCGCGTTCTGTTTCACAGTGAAAAACAAAGTATAACAAAGAATATGGGTGATGTATTCTGCTGACGTGACATGTTTGTGGCTGCCAAGTTTCATCTATAGAAGCACGCAACATCCAGTAGGCAATGCTTGCTCGATCTCATTGGCTATCACGTCAGAGGCAGCCCGATCAAGAGTCGTAAATATCAAACATGTTTGATATGGATAAGTCGTGGCCTAATGGTTAGAGAGTCAGACTTGTAACCCGAAGGTTGCAAGTACGAGTCTCAGGTCCGGCAGGAATTGTAGGTGGGGGGAGTGAATGTACAGCGCTCTCTACCACCTTCAATACCACGACTGAGGTGCCCTTGAGCAAGGCACCGAACCCCCAACTGCTCCCCGGGCGCCGCAGCATAAATGGCTGCCCACTGCTCCGGGTGTGTGTTCACGGTGTGTGTGTGTTCACTGCTGTGTGTGTGCACTAAGGATGGGTTAAATGCAGAGCACTAATTCCTAGTATGGGTAACCATACTTGGCCACATGTCACGTCACGTCACTTATATTTACGATTTGAGTTCGGGGATGCTCCGTCTCAATCAGGAGCAGATAAATAATCGTAATGAAACCACACAATAGAGGATTTTTGGGACAAAAAATCATTTGCGACAAGCCGTGAATCGGGCCACTCCCACCGATCGTTAGGGGGTGCAAATCGGGCTTAAAATCGGCCTTAAAATCCTCTAGTGTGCGACCAGCTTTAGGCAGATGCGTTGCTGATGGTGAAATTATTACCGACATTAAAACACGTTATTAACGTCAACAGCCAAAAAAGTTTCACAGGAATATGAATGTAAGTTACCTGAAAATTATGCATGGCCTTCATCTTGGGCTATTTTTTTTCTTTTCTCTGCGCCGGACTACTGATGTCTTTTCCCGGGCATAGTTGCCCATCAATTATGATCATTTGCAGTCAGTCGCGGGCGTGGATGCGGGAATGGCACGACATGTGCTTAGCCTACTGCGTTCACCGTAAAATGCCTTTTTTATAATTATATACAGTCGTGTGAAAAAGTTAGGACACCCTATTGAATTCCATGATTTTCTGTATCAGGAGATATCTGGTCCTTGGAAAGTCTTAACATTTGGAAATAAAGCCTCCGATGAACAATATCACATGACATATCACACAGTGTCATTATTTGATTAACAAAAACAAAGCCAAGAGGGAAAAGCCATGTGACAAAGTTAGGACACCCTATGATTCAATTGCCTAGATCAAGTTATTGCTGCTAAAAGTGGAAGTAATCATTTTCTGTATGACTTAATCAGTCTCTCACATCGTTCTGGAAAAATGTATGCCCACTCTTCTTTACGACGTTGATCCAGTTTATTGAGGTTTGTGGGCATTTGTTTATACACAGCTCTCACCACATGATTTCAGTCAGGATGAGGTCTGGACTATGACTGGGCTATTGCAGAACCTTGATTATTTTCTTTTCAGCTGTTCTGTTGTAGATTTGCTGGTGTGCTTGGGATTATTGTCCTGTTGCATCACCCAATCTTGGCCAAGCTATAGCTGTCGGACAGATGGCCTCACATTTGACTCTAGAATACTTTGGGATACAGAGGAGTTCTTGGTCGACTCATTGACTGTGAGGTGCCGAGATCCTGTGGCTACAAAACAAGCCCAAAATCATGTGAATTTTGCTATGAGGCGTTTGTGCTGATATTTTTTTTTTATTTATTTATTTTTTGCGTTTGTGCTGATATGCTTGTTAGGTTTTCACCAAACGTGCTGCTGTGCATTATTGCCAAACATCTCCAATTTGGTCTCATCTGTTCAAAGGTCATTGTTCTAGAAGACTTATTCTAGATGCAACTTTGCAACCCTAAACCGTGCTGCCATGTTTTTTTAGATAGAAGAAGCTTTCTTCTGGCAAGCCTTCCAAACATTCCATACTTGTCCCATATTTTTTTAACTGTACTGTCATGAATTTTATCATTTAACATGTTAACTGAGGCCTGTGGAGCCTGCGGTGAAGTTCTTGGGTTGTCTGCCAAATTCTCTGAGCGTGGTCTGATGAATTTGTGAATTTCTGTGAAAACAATATGTGAATTTGCTGGGATGTTCACTCCTGGGAGGATTGGTGTCTGTTTTGAATGTTTTCCACTTGTGAATAATCTTCCTCACTGTAGAATGATGGACTTGAAATTGTTTGGAAATGGCCGTATTACTCTTCTCAGATTGATGGCAGCAACAGTTGCTTCTTTAAGATGATTGCTGATGTCTTACCTCCTTGGCATTGTGTTAACACACACCTGAAGGCTCCAGACCAGCAAACTGCCAAAACATCTGCTTTTATAGAGGTGCTCACACTTGCTGATGATCAGTTAATCAAAGGCATTTGATTAGCAGTACCTGACTGCTACTTACCCTCTTAATTCTTGCCCAGCCCGTGTCCGACAGCTTATCAGAATTACCGGCCCGAGCCCGTCTTTTTTTCCCCCTTCTCCCAAAACGGCTTATACTACTGTTTCAGGCTCAGCTATTAAAATAGTTCAGTTTTGTATGTAATGGCAAAGTGATTATATTTTGTTAATTTAGGAAAACTTTTGGAGCATTTTTTGTTCTTTAAATATAAGTTATTTTTTAAAGCAACGACCAAGCAGCCAGCGGCAGACAATGAGTTGATCTATGTTTGATCAATTTTGCATTCTCAAATCATCACAACTTACCTAAAATAAAATCTATAGATATAATTGATCAATTTAGCCTTCTCAAATCATCACAACTTGACTAAAATAAAATCTATAGATATAAAACAGTTCAAGCATATAACAATGTTTAAACGTTAAACCTAGATAAATGTGCGCTGTTTCCAATAGTTTGTGTGGAGAGTGGAAGCTAAAGTGCGCTTTGCAGGACATGGAGGCGCCAGCGCAATCACTTGCATTTTTTTCAGTGGAAACAACTTAAAATACGCCGTCATTTTTGCTCATAAAGGTTAAGAGTAATACATCATTCGGAACTGTGAAGGGTCTACTTTTATTTGTGTGCACTCACAATGTCAACAAAACGTTGTGCTTTTATAAAATAAAGGGAAAAAACATGATGCGCTTTCTGCCGTCTCGGTCTTGAACAGGAGCGAATACATGCCTCACAGACATGACAAATATATCTATAAAAAGCTTTAAATTACTAATTAACTAAATAAAACAAATCAAAAACAAAAACTCTTTCCTTATAATTATAATCATAATCACAATCCGTAAAGATGCACTTCTCTCTAAAGTCACGTCTAATGAGGAGATGGCGAGTCAGGATCGGCAGCTTCATCCTTGCGACACCGACTCAGAAAACACTAGTTTATTAATAGTAAATGATTCAAATATCTCCTTACTATTTCCCCCTGACATATTCATGGTAATTTCTTTTGCCGGTGCTTTGCGGCAAGCTTTAGGCTATTGCGTGCATTTGAATGCAGAACTCTTCAGCTGCGCTGACTGCACGCATGCTGCTGCTGCTGGACACTAAACACCGTCAAGCTGCTCTTGACAGTCGCGGTAGCACGGTCTCGTGTTGTTTCCACCAGCACGCCAATTTTTTTTTTTCATTGATGGATGTCTAAAATATCAAAATAAGGAGAAGCCTAAAACAGGCCAGAGGCCCGGCCCGCGTCTGAACTATGACATGAAAATTGGACTGAAGCCCGGCCCGAGGGGTGTAAAAAAAGTCAGGGCCCATCGGGCCCGGGCTGAAATGCAAGGCTTTAAGCTGAACAGTAGCGTGCTCACTGCAGGACAGATGGAGGCGCCGGTGCGGTCACTTGCTCTTAATGATATTTTTGGTCATACAGATAAGAATAATGCATCTTTCGAATCTGTAAAGACTCTACATTTATTTGTGTACACTCACAATAACAACAAAACATTGTGCTTTTGTAAAATAATGAAAGCAAACAGGATGCGCTTTCTGTCATCTCGGTTCAGTTCACATCTCTGTGAACTTGAGCACGAAACTCTGCACTGCCTTACAGACATGAAAAATATATCTATAGAGAGCGAAATGTCTATGTTCAAATAAACCAATTCAAATGGAAAACAAATATTCTCAGATTATGTAATCCGTATGAAACATGCATACAGGTGCATCACTACTGCGGAGATGACGAGTCAGTGTCGCCGACTTCATCTCTTAAGCCAAAAACAAAGAAAGCACTAGTTTATCAAATTATTAAAATGTTACTTATCTTACTGTTTTTCTCTGACACATTCATAATCATTACTTCTGCTGGTGTGCTGTGGCAAGCTTTATGCGGGCGCTTGAGTGCTTAATAGGCTATGTAGGCAATTAAAGGCTTATTAATATTTAAATGGTTTATTAATAAACATGCGATTAGTTGACTAATTTTTCGACCAGAAAAATCTTTAGTCAAGGGCAGCCCTACCAGCCATGATAAACACAGCATCTGTATGCTGATGACTCTGTGCAGAATCCCCAGCGCAGTCACATGATCGGTCTCAGCCAGCAGGAACACAGTGCTGAACTGTTTTGGTAAATAAAAAGATCTGCACTTCTCCATCAAAAATTCAATGTCTGAAGAAAAGTACTTTCCAACACCGTGCACTTCCCCACACCACCTATTGTTGACGTACATGCAGACACCACCTCTGGTCTTCCCCACGGTAAATGGTGTGTGTGTGGAGCAGGAGAGCTGAATCTGCACTTTATTCAAGAGCCAGGTTTCCGTGATAATTAGAGGGCGACCAAACAGGTTAGGTGTGTAGTAATCCAAAATAGCCAAGAAAGGCCCATACACTATAAGGTTGAATGAAGCAAAAAAATCTTTACACTCTGACCTGAAGCATTTGCCTTTTGTTTGTTTTTTGTTGTTGTACTTTTTCAGTAAAATGTAGTTTTATCTTTATTTTTTGCCTATTTGTTTTTACACCAATTGCAAGTTGTCATACATTCATTGTACTTAGGTGTGTGTATGTGTGTGTGTGTGTGCGCGCAGGTGGACTAAAGCTCATGAGCTTCTTGTGCAGCAGAAGATCATTAAGGATCACTTGGCTCTAGTTGTGAGAGAGTCTGAAGCCATGCTGAGGTAGGATCATTAACAAAACTAATTTGTGCTGTAGTGGGTGATGATATCACTAATAATGATGGTTTGATAATGTGTTTGTCAGGGATGGCTACCAGCAGTTCTTTGATCATCTCCATCAGTTGTCTGTTCCTCTGCTGATCTTCTCTGCTGGAATTGGGGATGTGTTAGAGGAAGTGATCAGACAAGCTGGTGTGTTCCATCCTAATGTTAAAGTCTTCTCCAATTACATGGACTTTGACGAGTCTGTAAGTTTCTTTATAAACATCTGTCACGTGTTTGTCCAAATAATTCACTCATATGGATCAAATGATTTTCAATACATTTTTTTAATTTCTATTTTGGCTGTTTAATTTCTGATATTGAATAGTCATTTATGTTTGCAGACCTAAATATTTGTGAGACCACAGATACCACAAATAGTTAAAAAATCTTGTTTTACAATGAACTAATTTAAGCTTAATTAATGGATTTGACGTTTGTAAAAAAAAATAAAAAAAAAAAGTACACATGAGGGCTCGATAACTTGTTACATGCACAGAGCATATTTAAAACGTAATCTAGCTTCCGCTAACTGTTGTACATGCATTTCCGAGAGCGTTTCATTCCAGCAGATGATGTAGGACGAAGGCGTAGCGTAAGCTCCGGTAAGAATATACTAGTCCAGGCGTAGGCAAGTTCGGTCCTAGAGAGCCGCAGTCCTGCAGAGTTCATCTCCAACCCTGAAAACAAAACTCACCTGCCTATAGCCTTAGTAATCCTGAAGACATTGATTAGCTTGTTCAGGTGTGTTTGATTAGGGTTGTAGCTGAACTCTGCAGGACTGCGGCTCTCTAGGACTGAACTTGCCTACCCCTGTACTAGTCTCACGAAAACCAAGTTTTGTTTACAGCAAAGGAAAACCAGTTTCCTCTTGGCTTATATCGAAATCCTCTGATATTTTTCTATACAAATCCTCGTTTTGTACTTTTAATCTGTGACCGGTGTTTTGTTTTGCTCTGTATGTTTGTCTTTTTTCTGAAAAATATTAACAAATTCAAAAATTTGAGTCAGGGAAGTTTCTAAAATTTGGTTGATTTGACATGGAATGACCCTATTATAGTATTTTTAAAACATTAAAAATTAAAAATAACAAACACTGGCCCTGGCTATATATTGGCCACTAGCCACAAGGTTGAGTCTAGTTACTCTTTATGTTCCACATGGATGAATAGGTTAGGGCTGTCACGATATTAGATTTTTCACACTACGGTTATTGTGGCCAAAAGAATTCATGATATCGATATATTTATATATAAACATATCTATAGAAACCTTGGGGGGGGGGAGTTATGAGCCAAATTAATTTTTACTTCATTTAGTTTTTATTTTTTACCCAATAGGATACTGATAAACACAGGGCACATGCATTTTAACTTCTTCAGGTCACAGCTGACCTGCAGAGGTGGAAATTCCAGGTTCAGAAAGTCCTCCTCAGTATTTTGTTCCAATCACCTGGATTTGCTAATTAGCACAGTTTTTCAGCCAGGAAGCAGGGGCGATTCTAGGATTTTTTTTAATGGGGTGGCACAGGGAGGGCCCATGGGAAAAGTCATGTGCCCCAACACAAGTGAAATGACATAAAAATGGCACTGCACAAGTGCCTGGACAACTCATCTCTCTTTTTATAAATAAAAACCACTGAACAGACAATAATTGTTCTCAACTTCTTCCAGGTTCAGAAAGTATAAGTCCTCAGTATTTTGTTCCAATCACCTGGATTTGCTAATTAGCACAGTTTTTCAGCCAGGAAGCAGGGGCGATTCTAGGATTTTTTTTAATGGGGTGGCACAGGGAGGGCCCATGGGAAAAGTCATGTGCCCCAACACAAGTGAAATGACATAAAAATGGCACTGCACAAGTGCCTGGACAACTCATCTCTCTTTTTATAAATAAAAACCACTGAACAGACAATAATTGTTCTCAACTTCTTCAAACAGACTGTGTGTGTGTGTGTCTTGTGAACTTTTTTGTAAAAATTGCTCATGGTCTGACGTTCACCTGTGGCTGCAGATAGATGGCTGCTGGTGTAGTCCTCACTGGCCCTCTCTGGCTGGCTCTGACCTGTGCTGCCAGGTTCAGGGCTGATCATTTGCTGGCCAATTTGACCCTGCCTGGTGGATTGGCTCTGACCTGCACTGCACTGTATCTACCTGTCTTTGACATGGTTTCTTCTTGAAGAAACCTTGAATGTATTGATGCTGTGCCTGACTTTGTCCCCTTTTAATTTTTTCCACAAAATTCTGTCTTAAAAAAAAAAAACTAAATCATTAATATTACACAAATAGTATATTTAATAGCCATATTCTCATCTGATTAAAGCCAAAATCATTTAAATGTGAAGCTGTTCTTGGACATTGCAAACGAAAATAAAAAATATATGACTACCACGCAAAAACTTTTATTCAATACAAACAGGTGTTTACTATTCTACATCTTAAAATTCCAAGTGGCAGAATGCTAACATTATTAAAACCCCACATTTTAGCATTTACCACGTTACTGCAGACTATTTGGGAAAGTGATTGTGCCTTTAATCTTTGAAACAACAGGAAGAAACGTAACATAACGATTTCTATTTTAAGCGGTGCTGGTGCATCGCGGCAACACAACTATAAGCACAAACTCTAAGGAGCTTTCACGGCTGTAGAAGCCTGACTCGCTCTGGGCCGGAGGAACCACCTCTATGGCTCCTTTTTCCAGCAGATTCTTCACTTCGGAGCACAGGACGTGTGCGTCTGTGCTCTGAACCAAAGTGGGGACCACTCCACTGAAGCGCGGGGGTCTTCGAGCTAATTGAAGTGAATAACCTCGCTTTATTATCCCCAGAACCCACTCTGACACTCCGGGTGCTCCAGATGGCTTGCCAAGCCTCGGCCCGGGAAGACAGGGGTTGGATTGGTTCGAGTGTCTGGTCGCTGCAAGGCCACACGGTACTCATGAGAAATGGAAGAGGAAAACTGCTCTCTTTTTGAAAATGTTTGTGTTTTATTGTGCCCGCTATAACAGCGGATCGCCGCTTGAACGGGCCCAGAGTTTGCAGCAAACACATCGCTGACTGCACCCGGAACTGGACGGGGTGATTGGCGGCTTCCGGCTGCAGCGAGACTTGGGCCCCCTTCTCTTCCTGTCCCTTAGATCAGGACGACGCTGGAGGCACCGAATCCAGCGCTATCTTAGGCCGGGGTCCCTGGTGCTTTGGAAACAGGTAGTGTTTGGCCGAGCGGGAACGTCGTCGAGGCTCAGGTTTGGATGGCTGGGCGGCAGTGGCAGCCACAGGTGCAGGCTTCGCGGGCTGTTGAGTCGGCGCAGACTTGGGGCGACCTGAGGCAGCTGCAGAGCTGGAGCGTTTCGGCAGGAAGTGTCGCATGGCCTGGGACGACTTTTGTGCCTCAGTGAAACGCTCAGCAAAGCCTTCGACTGCTGGCCCGAACAGGCCGTTGGGAGAGACTGGGGCGTCAAGGAACGGGACCTTGTCAGCGTCCTTGATCTCCGTTAAAGTCAGCCATAAATGGCGCTCGAGTACTACCAGGCTGGCCATGGAGCTTCCTATAGCCTGAGTCATGGCCTTGGCAAAGCCAGGTCTGTCGCGTTTCTCAGCTCCCTGAGTTTCGCGGGGTCCGGGCCAGATTCGTCCATGCTGGCGAGGAGCTTGGCCTGAAAAATCTGGAGAACTGCCATTGAGTGGAGCGCCGAGGCCGCTTGCCCAGCCGAGGAGTAGGCGCATCCAGCAAGGGCTGAAGTCGTCCTACACTGCTTGGATGGATGGGCGGCCTTCGCCTTCCAGCCAATCGCAGTAGGTGGGCAAAGGTGTGCGGCCACTGTCTCGTCGAGCGGAGGCAGCCCTGCACGTACCGCAATGACGGCGCAGCATTTGCAACAACGCCGCGAAAATTAGCTCTTTAGAAATTTGCTCTGATAGGGCTCGCCGGATGGCGGCAGGGGAAGCTGGATCACTGCTGCGCGTTGCTAAAGGCGGATGAGCAGATGAGCAGTGTTCCATTGCGAGACGTGTCAACGGCGAGCAGGCTCTTCAGTCAGCGAAGATCGCGAAGAACGTCGTCGTCGCTGAAGGAGAAGAAATCTGAATCCTATGGCGAAGCTGCCGCTTATATAGCCAGATGGCCTCGCCCATTCTGGCGGGCTTCGTGGCCATAGGTTCGTGCAGCACCGCTGCCAAGCCATTGGTTCGTCTTTAAAATGCACTGCACGAACCGATGGCCGTGCAGTTACACTGCATGATTGAAAAAGGCTTCAGTTCAGGTGAAAAAAGGACTTTTTCCCATAGTGTCTTAAAGGGTTAGTTCACCCAAAAATTTTAATTGGCTTGTGTTTTACCCTCGAGGCATCCTAGGTGTATATGACTTTCTTCTTTCAGACGAATCCAGTCGGAATTATATAAAAAATTGTCCTTGCTATTCCAAGCTCTATCATTGCAGTCAGCGGGTGTTGCAGTTGAACAGTCCACAAGTCGTCAAATAAAGCACGCGCATTCATAATAAAATGTGCCGCACATGGCTCCGGGGGGTGAATAAAGGCCTCCTGTAGCGAATCCATGTGTTTTTGTAAGAAAAATATCCATATTTCAAACATAATAAATGCTTTTCTCTCACTTCCGGTATCTGTCATACATGGAAGCTATTCCGGCGGATGACGTAGCAAGTTGGCGTTGCGTGATTAGTGACGAACGCGGAGACAAAACAAAACGCTACACCGTTCACGAATTAGAATCACAATGGTTTTCCTTTGCTAAAGTAAGGAAACTTTGCTTCCTTTGCTAATATAAACAAACTCGCGAGACTAGCATATCTCAGAGGCGCCGGAACGGCTTCCGCGTATGACATTTTATTATTTTAATAATGTTTTATTATGGATGCGCGTGCTTTATTTGACGACTTGTGGACTGTTCAACTGCAAAACACAGTCTAATTTTCATTTTTGGGTGAACTAACCCTTTAAGCAAGACGCAGAGTTAGTGAAGTATCGATAGGGAACCGCTGTTAACAGGTTAATGTAGCATTTCTCATTCCATGACTAGTAAAATAATAGCAACTTACCCTTTATAATATTGAACATGGTTCTTCTCGGAGTAGCGAGCACTGCGTCTTGTTTGACCACCTGGGAGGTCAACCAGGTACTGGCGCTGGAGTATTTGCATGTCGTGTTATCATGAGAGTCCTGTTCATTCTAAATATTGTGGCTATCGCGAATACCAGTATATTGTCACACCCTATATTAACACGATGTTGATATTTCATGCTTTAAATATCACGATTATCGTGAAAACTGGTATATTGCGACACATTTCATTTTGACTTGAACAGCAGCAGTTCTGAAGACCTTTAAGTACTGGCTGCACTGCACTGGCTACCAATAGCTGCTCGAATAAAATTCAAGGCATTAATGTTGGTCTACATAACCACCACTGGCTCTGCACCCATTTACCTAAATGCATTACTTCAGACTTATGTGCCTCTAGAAGATTGCGTTCTGCAAGTGAACGGCGCTTTATTGTTCATCTCAAAGAGGCACAAAATCACTTTCACAGACTTTTTCATTAACTGTTCTCTCCTGGTGGAATGACCTGCCCAACTCAATCCGAGCAGCTGAGTCCATAGCCATCTTCAAGAATCTCTTCCATCTTTATTTGACCCTCTAACTCTGTCTCTATTCTATTCTTTAAAAAAACTTGCCCCTTTTAGACTTGCACTCTATTCATTTACTAACTGCTTGTTTTCTTAAAAAAAAAAAAAACGAACACTAGCTTCTCTATTCTTTTTGTATTCTATCTATTTGTTTTCTTTTTAGTATACAATTAACAAAAACCAAAAAAGGTCTCTAACACTAGCTTGCTCTATTATTTTTCTATTCTATCGGTTTTCTTTTTATTTGTTATATGTTATGTTATATTAAAAAAAAAAAACTTTGCTGCGTTAAGCTAACTGAGACTTGTTATAGCACTTGCATATCATTGCTCTTTTGTTGAGTTTGATTGCTTCCATTGTCCTCATTTGCAAGTCGCTTTGGATAAAAGCATCTGCTTAAATGACTAAATGTAAATGTAATGTAAATGTAAGTACACAGTTCTTTCGGTATACTTGAGCCTCTTTTTGTGCTTGTAACAGGGTGTTTTGCAGGCATTTAAAGGAGAGCTGATTCACATCTACAACAAACGGGAAGGAGCTCTGCTCAATACCGAACACTTCAAGGAACTCCAGAGCCGCTGTAATGTCCTCCTGCTCGGAGACTCTCTTGGGGATCTCAACATGGCTGATGGAGTCATGGACTTACAAAACATCCTGAAGATCGGATACCTCAATGATAAGGTAAATCCACAGTAAATGCAGGACAGCACATGAAAAAAAGGAAAGAAACACTAATGAATGTTTGTTTTTACCCTAGGTGGATGAGAGGAGACAGTCATACTTAAACTCCTATGATATTATTTTGGAGAAAGATGAAACCATGGATGTTCCTAATGCGATCTTACGATACATTACAGGACAATGAACTTAGACCTAAGATCTCCAAGATAAGGATGGACTCAGTGATTTTATTTTCTGTGGGTTGGAATGTTATTCTGTTGTTTTTCTACCTTGACGACTACTACATGTTCATATTGTACCATTATCTGGATTGTCTATATTTTTCCATCTGCGCACGGTTGAGAAGGACCTCAAAAACACCAACACCAATTTAGATAGCGTTGTTAATCAGGGATTATGGTTCTACACATCTTTCTCTCATTGAAGTTTAAAAAATAAATACGGTTTTTAATGGAGGTGTCATGATGTTAATTGTGTATTTACTAAGTCAGTACATTTATGTGAAGGTGACAAAAGGGTAACTTGTTTGCCTCTACCCTAAAAACATTTAATGACATGTCTTGTTTTAAAAATGGAAAAATAAAAGAATAGAACCAGAAAGTTAAGTACTAATTAGAAATTATATTTGTCAAAAATGTATAAAGTAAAAATGTTTTCTTAGACCAGATGTTAAACTAATATTTGTCACAGCCAACTGATTTGTATAGAGTTTGCTATAGAGTTAGGTCCAGTAAATGCATTTTACAGGTTTCAGAGAAAGAGCAAGAAGTTATCCAAATCAGTTGCTGTAGGGATACTGTAATGGTTGCAGCAGAGTCCTGGTGGGTGAACTGCTAGTATTTGATGTAATGGATGAAAAATCCAAGAATCTATAGAAGATTTTTTTTTCTCTATTATGCACTGAGCATGAACTACAAACAGAACAACAACTACAGTAATAGAAACATTAACTTGGAGCACAGTGTGGTTTCGCTACAGTGGTTCAGGCTGTAGGATTGCCGAATGACTAAAGAAATGTAATCGGCACGATGGTATAAAACTGCATTTCTTGTCTATTACCACTCACTGCCACTTATACCACATCCGAAATAAGCGTGGTTAGAATAGCTAAATATGTAGGACAGTGTTGCTATTGAGTGACTATATTATTACAATTTGGCATTGGTGGAAAAACATTCGATGTTATACAGTCCATGTATAAAAACAGTAAATATGCAGTCAAAACGGGAATCTCAGAACAGCGTTCTTCCAGCAGGGTTGTGGAGTGAGGCAGTGATGCAGTCGTAGCCAACACTGTTTAACATCTACATCAACGAGCTGGCAGAAGCTCTGGACCGCTCTGGCAGCATCCTGGGCCTCGCTCTGCACGACTGAAGTCAAATGCCTGCTGTATGCAGACGACCTGGTTCTGCTGTCCCCCACAGCTGAGGGTCTCCAGCACAGCCTGGCCCTGCTGGAACAGTACTGTGAGGAATGGGCACTGACGGTCAACCTGAACAAAACCAGGGTCACGGTGTTCCAGAAGAAGGCCAGGTCTCAGAGAAACAGAGACGGAGCACAGCAGCAGCTACACTTACCTGGGCATCGAGATCTCAGCATCAGGGGGCTTCAGTCTGGCTGTGAAGGGCCTGAATGAGAGGGCCCGGAGGGCTTTTTATGCCATAAAATCACGGTTTGGCCAATTAAAACTACCAATTAGAACATGGATTAAATTATATCACGCCATCATTAAACCAATTCTACTATATGGGTGTGAAATTTGGGGACCAGTATTAAAGTTTGAAAATTGGGATAAAAGTTTAATAGAAAGAACATAATTGGAATTTGCAAAAAAACATTCTAAGGGTAATCAGAGGCACTTCTAACAATGCATGCAGGGCTGAACTGGGCTTATACCCCTTACACATTGAAATACAAAAAAAAGAGCTGTTCAATTCTGGCAAGATATAGAAAGATAGAAAGAGAATTAGTTGTGATTGTGTGTTATAGAGTTGGTTTCGTACTTTACTCCAGCTGATGTTTATCTGCCTGATTTGATTCATATGAGTGTCTCTGTCCTGAGGACTCAGGCTGGAGTTTGACAAGATCTGAGAGCCGGTTTTATTTAGCCATGACAGCGTCTCATTCTGACCATCCATCTCCTCCGTCAAGGCCTGAGAGAGAGAGAGAGAGAGAGAGAGAGAGAGAGAGAGAGAGACATCACCTGAGTCAATCTGACACTGAATCTATTGAATATAAAGCCCTCCTTGCCAATGAATCCCCCACAGTGTCTCATCCTCTAAATACACTTGTGCTTCAACTAATGAAGGAAACTCAAGCTGAGTCTGACTCCAGCCACAAACCCAACATTCATAAAGACATTGACAAACCTAAAGTGTATAATTATGATGAAAAATTAAAAAACGAATTTGACCTCCAAACCAAACTCCAGTGTTATTCGGCCCTAAATAGAAGCACCAAATTGGCAAATTACTTATCAATCAAACAATTAAAAGAAAGACATCCTTTCAAAATATCGACTCCGCGACCACGACTTAGAAATAGAGGGAGGAAGATATAAAAGATCCTGGAAACCGAGAGAACAGCGACTATGCAAGCACTGTGACTTAAATCAAATAGAGGATGAGAAACACTTTCTTCTTGTCTGCCCCAAATACACCACTACAAGGCAAATATTCTTCCACAATTTGAAGCATTGAATTGTTAATTTTTGTCTCTAAACGACTCTACGCTATATACTCGGAGAGGATGACATGGCAGTCAAACTAGCTGCAAAATATGTATACACCTTACACACCATACGAAATGGTTAATTCATTGTATCCATTTGCTTTATTTGACATTCTTCATTGTATATAATTGCAATTATTATAATTAATATTAGAAACACTGTCTGCTCTTGCTATTTTTATTTTATTGTATTTATCTATTTATTTTCTCATTTATTACTCATATCATTAATGCCATGCCAATAAAGCAACTTGAACTTGAGAGAGGGAGAGAGAGAGAGAGGATTAAAACACTTATTTTATCACAAATTACCTCATACAAATTCACAATAATATTTATTAATATTATTATTAATAATTTTATTTTATGATATTACTATTATTGGGAAAAGACAGAAAGGCAAAGAAAAGAAACAGAGCAATAGCTGCAATCTTCTTTCATCCCTTCTTTGACCATGTGACTAAAACCAAATGTGAGACATTCAAACTGACCAGTCAGCAAATTACAACTTCACCCACTGTAAAGGTGTCACAATTAGTAGGCCCCCAATGTATACACATCTTGGCCTACAGGCCTTGATCACTATCAGCACTTCTGTGTCTTCAGGAATGCCAAATGGTCCTTTTGTTACTGAAAATAGGTTTGGGACATGAAAGCAAAAGTCCTTGATTATATTTGACCCTACAATAGAAAAGTGGGCTAAACAGAGAAAGCATAGAAGTCACATTTATTTATGTAGTGCTTTATATAATACAGATTGTTTCAAAGCAACTCCACATTAATAAAGAGGAAAATAACGGGGTTATAGTAAAAATGCATAAGTTATGAAACAAATTTAATTTCAACTGTAAAGCAGCTATAAAGAAGATAATGGTGTCATTATTCAGCTTAATTTAGTTCATCCACCCATCCATACATCCATTCTCCTCTGCTTGTCTGGGACTAGGTCGCAATGGCAGGATGCTAAATATGGCCACCCATACCAGGGTTTTCACGGGTCCTTAAAAGTACTACATTTAGTTTGACTAAACTTCAAAAGGCTATGATGTTCACAGTGGGAAACCAGGAAAACCACTATATGCTTTTTCAAAAGTGCCACCCACTGGCAAGTATGAAATCAGCCCATCTGCTGTTTTTTTTGCTAAGACCAAAGCAAGATTTGATGCAGCAATCAAAATGTGCTGTAATTCACTTCCTCCAGCTCCTCCTGGGGAATCCCTAGGTGCTCCTAGGCCAGCCAAGAGATATAATCCCTCCAGCCTGTCCTGGGTCTGCCCTGGAGTCTCTTCCCAGTTGAACATGCCCAGAACACCTCTGACGGAGGAGTCTGGGAGGCAACCTGACCAGATGCCCAAAACACATCTACTTGCTCCTTTCAATGCACAGGAGCAGCAGCTCTACTCCAAGTCCCTGCTGGTTGTCTGAGATTTGCACCTAATTTCTAAGGGTCACCCAGAGACCCTGCAGAGAAAATGCATTTAGATCGCATGCATCGCATTATTTTGGTCACTACCCAAAGTTCAACACTTTGCGTCTGAGCGTCTGAGGCAGAGGTGGAAAGTCCAGGGGTCAGAAAGTAAAAGTCCTGCCATAAGTTTATTCCACTCATGAACTCAGCCAGCATATATTGTTACATTTTCGGTTGTTTTGCTTCAAAGAAAGGTTAGATTTTTTTTTTAATTTTTTTATGAAACATCAAAAGGAAAAATGTAACTTTATAACAGTACATAAACAGTATCTATAAAGCATGAAATAATGTATTTTGTAAAATAAACAAACAAATAAATAAATAAAAACGTGCTATACAAATTAATTTGTCTCGACTGTTTTGGGATAGTGTTTTATCTGAATATTAGTGCTGCTGCTGAACAGAATGAGTGTTTTACCATGATATATTTTTTATGATTATTTGATAAATACAAATATCAAAAGAACAGCATTCATTTGAAATAGAGATCTTTTGAAACATAAATCTTTACTGTCATGCTTGAAATCTTACTTACCCCAAACTTTTGAATGATAGTTTATCACTGTTTCCACAAAATATTATCCAGCACAACTGTTTTCAACATTGATAATAATCAAAAATGTTTCTTGAGCAGCAAATCAGCATATTAGAATGATTTCTGAAGATCATGTGACACTGAAGACTGGAGTAATGCTGAAAACTTTTCCATTACAGAAATAAAAGACATTTTAACATATGTTAAAATAGAAAATTATATTTAATTGTAATAATATTTTACAATATTAAAGTTGTTCATCAAATAAATGCAGCCTTTGTGAGCATAAGAGACTTCTTTCAAAAACATTTAAAAGTTGTAAATATTCCAAACATTTTTTGCCTAAAATGAAATAGTTTAAGTTTTCAATAATGCAATTGCCAAAACAAGGCTTTAAGGAAGTATAAATTGTTATCAGACTAAAATCTTGCAAGTCAAACCTTACTACATAGCAGCAAAAACTCATGAATTAAAATTGTGTTATTCTGCCAAGATCTGGAATTTAAATTATTCTTAACATAACCAAACCTGCTGGCATTCGACCACGGTAGTGGACTAAAGTTTAACATGCCTGGTCAGGCTGCAATAAATGCTTCAGAGCTTCTTATTTGCAAATACTGTAGTATGGTAGTTATTAGATAATGTGGGTGATGTAATATTGAGATGCTTTTGAATGTTTTTTTTCTCTCATGTCAAATGTCATTTCATTATAATCAATAATAATCAGTAAATAACATTTGCAGTTTTTAAATATGTCATAAGATCAAGCAAAATTGTTATGACTTTTTAATAGTGTTTCCTGTACAGAGTTTTGCTCTTAACCCTCTACGGTACAGAATATGATATCAATGAGGAAAAAATTATTTGTGATGTTTTTCCTACTTAAAATTGGACACTATAACAATATCAATAAAAATTTTTATTATTATTTAATTTTTTTTTTTAAGTTTGTTGCCTCAAGGCACTGTACCACAATGGACAAATTTAAACATTTGACATTTTCATGTAGAAAAAAGTAATATATTTATTGAAAACATCAATTTCTTTAACCAAACACTTGAACAAACAGATTTATCTAGATTTTAATGTATTGCACATCTCATATTTAATAAAAAATAACATTTCAAATTCAATCAAAACATTGTACCATCGTGGATCGTTTTCAACATTGATAATAATCAAAAATGTTTCTTGAGCAGCAAATCAGCATATTAGAATGATTTCTGAAGATCATGTGACACTGAAGACTGGAGTAATGCTGAAAACTTTTCCATTACAGAAATAAAAGACATTTTAACATATGTTAAAATAGAAAATTATATTTAATTGTAATAATATTTTACAATATTAAAGTTGTTCATCAAATAAATGCAGCCTTTGTGAGCATAAGAGACTTCTTTCAAAAACATTTAAAAGTTGTAAATATTCCAAACATTTTTTGCCTAAAATGAAATAGTTTAAGTTTTCAATAATGCAATTGCCAAAACAAGGCTTTAAGGAAGTATAAATTGTTATCAGACTAAAATCTTGCAAGTCAAACCTTACTACATAGCAGCAAAAACTCATGAATTAAAATTGTGTTATTCTGCCAAGATCTGGAATTTAAATTATTCTTAACATAACCAAACCTGCTGGCATTCGACCACGGTAGTGGACTAAAGTTTAACATGCCTGGTCAGGCTGCAATAAATGCTTCAGAGCTTCTTATTTGCAAATACTGTAGTATGGTAGTTATTAGATAATGTGGGTGATGTAATATTGAGATGCTTTTGAATGTTTTTTTTCTCTCATGTCAAATGTCATTTCATTATAATCAATAATAATCAGTAAATAACATTTGCAGTTTTTAAATATGTCATAAGATCAAGCAAAATTGTTATGACTTTTTAATAGTGTTTCCTGTACAGAGTTTTGCTCTTAACCCTCTACGGTACAGAATATGATATCAATGAGGAAAAAATTATTTGTGATGTTTTTCCTACTTAAAATTGGACACTATAACAATATCAATAAAAATTTTTATTATTATTTAATTTTTTTTTTTAAGTTTGTTGCCTCAAGGCACTGTACCACAATGGACAAATTTAAACATTTGACATTTTCATGTAGAAAAAAGTAATATATTTATTGAAAACATCAATTTCTTTAACCAAACACTTGAACAAACAGATTTATCTAGATTTTAATGTATTGCACATCTCATATTTAATAAAAAATAACATTTCAAATTCAATCAAAACATTGTACCATCGTGGATCACAAGTATAACTAAACTATCATATCTGTTGTCATACCAAAACATTATAATCAGTGTTGTTTCAAAGTAAAAAATTTAAAATAATCATAACCATAAGGTTATCCTTACAAGCATGCACACACAAGCACATGCATGCAAAATCTCCTACTTCACTAATGACACCTCATTGCTTGTGAAAACTGAGGAAGCAATTCTTCTCAACAGACCAATCATAATATGTGCAGATATAGTATGAGAATTACTATTCTTGAAAATTCATTACAAAATCATGCAAAAATTCTAATACATTTAGATAATTCTAACTCTTTTCCTTAATATGAACACAAATATCATATACTTGTATACAACCTAGTATGCCTGCATGGCCTTATGCGATTCCATTGCGGTACAATGTTGCCTTGAGGCAACATGCAGTTTTTTGTAATTTCCTATGATACATTTGATGAAATATTATGTAAAGTTTTTGAAAATACTTCTTTACTTTCCAATGAAGGTGACTAAGATTTTTTGTAGGCAATTATATGCACGGAAATTGATGAAAAATGCACTTTTCATTGGACAAAATATAGAGTGACGTGCACGTCCTGAAAGTGGAAACAAAATGGACCCCTGTGGGTCATGTGACCACTTTTTTTGTATGTTCATTTATTAGTATTTGACTTCTACTTCCCTGAGACAGCATTGGTCAATTAAATGTGTCTCATTTTATTTAAAAAAACAAAAATATGTTGTGTTGCCTGGAGGCAACATGGTACCATAGAGGGTTACATTTGCATACACTACTTATTTTACCATGTTTACATACCCCTTGCAAAATCGTTAAAATATTTAGCATTTTTTTACAGATCTATCTTAAATACGAGAATATATTTTTCATATTTAGTCCTAGGGATGTCCCGAGCCGATCTTAAAAATCGGGGTCTGGACTGATTGAGCTTTTTTTTTACTATTTGCAGGGCCGCATTAACCATTGAGCCCCGGGGCCCAAGCAAGGAAGGGGCCCGTGATTGGCTGTGGAGTAGATTGACGGACATCGGTAGCGCCGATCGCCAAAGCCTCACCACGCCCCTCACTTTTTAGCGCTATTATTTAGTGGAGTTTTTCCGTAAATTCCATGCATTACCATTAGAGATTAAAATGTCACATTTGAATTTGGTTTACCAATCAAATGCATTTATTATATATTTTACTTTTGAACAAACTGTGCACGCAGCCTATCTATCCGGTGATCACTGCGCCTAATGTCTGCATTCACCTCTCTTCACTTCATTCTGGTGTAATCTAGAAACGGTCATGCAAAGAACAATCTTCGATAAGTAAAAATGTCAACTATTCTAAAAAAAAATAGTGAGAGAAAAAAATGAGGAGAGCGGGGAAAACATGAGTGAGTCACTAAAATCCACAGCTAGTTTATATTACTAAAGCTGATGATGGAGTGGGAGTTGTGGAACCGCAAATGGACCGGACACATGAGCAGATAAAAACACAGCGTCATCATCCCCACAGATTTTAGGTTAGTTTGATTCTTAACTTGATAGATGTTGCTTTTTGGGTTTGAACTAAACTCTATAGGCCTAGTATATTCGCTTATGGGTTGAGAAATTCATTTTACATCATTCATGATGTAAGCTTTTCATTTAAACGCATTTTAAGCATTTTGGTTTAAAAACTAATTTAACTGTTCAGGGACATTAAGCAGTGGGACAGAATTCATTTTGGCAAATGCGCGATAAACAATAATGTAAATTAAACATTAGAAAGAAAATCACTCACTCTCCTTGACCAAATCGCTTTTGTGAAATAATGTATATTGAATTTATGCAGTGTTACTATTATTACTATTCAGTCTTTTGTAATTCATGACTGTTTACTTGTCTTCAGTAAGTTTGTTTTTACTTAGGCTAGTATTTTTTATTTTTTTATTTTGTGATATTGGAAATGGTAACGTGAAATTGCAATGCATCAAAAATTTTGATTAGATAAAAATCCTATTTTAAGCTATATATATATATCATTATTGTGATGGGGGGGGCCTGCAGTAAGTCATAGCCCCGGGGCCCAGTGAGGTCTTAATGCGGCCCTGACTATTTGGTATTAGCTATCCTAAATCTGATTCTTTATTTTACATCAGCTGTCATGCAGGTGTCGTGCAGTCTTGTAGATTTCAAGTGGGTTTGCTAAACAAAAAAAAAAGAAAATGCTCCAAAGTGAGGTCTGTTCTAGTGCATCACACACACGTTTGAGCTTTGATGCACACTTTTGTAATGAACATTCATTTATTTACCATTTACTTTTATCTGCCATAAGACTATCTGAGACGTATAATGCATTGTTTTGGGTTGCATCTTGCTTTGGACTTAACGACAGACTGGCATTCTGACACCGCAAGCTTCATGCTTTCTAAACTTATCTCCACATTTTCCGTTTATGTTGCAATTATTCCTGCTTATTGTACAAATAAAATACAAGTCATTTAAATTATATTCATAATTGTGACCAAACAGTCTGTTTACAATGTCTACCAGTGTAACATGTTTACATCTACCAATGGCTTCATACAGTGGACACACACACACATATATATATACTCTATATATATATATATATATATATATTGGGTTCATTTTAAATAACTTTAATGTACTTGAAGTGAGCACACTTCACACTAGGAAAATACAAGTATCAGATTGGGACTTTGTATCAGCAGATACTCAATTCAATGACTCGGACTGGATCAGGGGCACAAAAAACCTGATCGGGACATAGAAGCTGCATAACAGCTATATATAAACAAACCCATCGTTCAGTTACATTGGTTATTTGATTAATGGACAGAAAAAAAGACACAGAAAGGTCACATATTATAACAAATCTTCCAATGTAACCTCTGAAACACTGCAGCTAGAAATTTATGTTTTTTAATAGTGCATTATATGTCATCAGAACATTACCCATTACTGAACCCATGGATCCCAACATCAAGCTGACATAGTCAGTCAATTACAACTTGAATTACAAAAATCTTACTCAAAAAACTATGTTGCCCTCACAGCTCCTCATGTTTAGGCACTTCATCATCCTCATTTACTATGATGTTCAGTTCGTCTTCAGTTATCTTGCCATCTGCATTGCGATCTTGCTTTTTGAACATGTCCCTTAGGATAACGTCACTGTCTACTCCTGGGTGGAGGCGGCCCCTGCCTTCAGCCACCTGTAGCTTAATGAATGCTGAAAACTGCAGAAGAAAACAACAAAAACCAGTTGGTGATCAGATGTGACAAACAGTACCAGCATCTCACATGTCATATTAGTCACATACTGTAGGTCTATGTGCGAATGCACATAGTATTTGTGCGATAGGACAGGGTCTGTTTAATTGTATGCTGACTTGAGAAATCATGTTAATTCTTGTGCACAGTGGACAGACAACACAGACTAACACACGATGCGTAAATGTTTTTACCACAACCCAAATGATGGATCGGAAATTTTTTTTATAGCAACCTGTGCGTGTGTAGCTTTAAGAGAGCAAACAAACATCTGTATTAAATCCTTGGGCTGTGTTTGTGTTTTTTCTCCACCATCTCTCTCTCTATTTTACTTTCTTAGTTGCCAACAGTTAAAAAAACAGGACTCCAGACCATCCAGCACCAGCTGTGATTTCCTCAACCACCCCTTTTGTTGTTATTGTTAATTAATTAATTAATTTTTAGATTGATTTATTGATTGATTAGTTTTGTGTTATGTCATGGACAGTACATATATTGGTGTCTTCTTCCTATATATCTCATACCATGAAAAAAGATTTTGTTCATATTGCCCACCCCTTAATTTAGAGTTTCACAACTGAACTAGATATATGTTGAACTCAATATTATATGTATTTATGTTAAAAAAATATATATAATTTTTTTTAAAGCAGGCTCATATATATATATATATATATATATATATATATATATA